CCATCACCCCCAGGAAGGAAACCTCGCTCTGGCGGAAGCAGCACTTCTTCTCGTTCAAAGTGATGCCTGCGCGGGATAGTCGCATCAGGACTTGCTGCAGGCGGGAGTCGTGTTCTTCGAGAGTGCGTCCGAAGATGAGTATGTCGTCTATCATGCACACAGTGCCTTCCAGGCCTTCCAAAATCCTGGACATCTGCTTCTGGAAAAATTCGGGCGCAGAAATGATGCCGAAGGGCATCCGACGGAAGCAGTAGCGTCCGAAAGGTGTGATAAATGTGGTGAGTTCTTGAGATTCTTCCGCCAACTTCACCTGGTAGAAGCCTGATTTAGCGTCCAACTTTGAGAACACCGTTGCGTCTCCCAGCAGGCCCAGGACCTGGTCGACCGTGGGAAGGATGTGGCGTTCTCGCAGGACCACCCGGTTTAACTTCGTAAGGTCCACGCACAGCCTGTGGCCCCCGGTGGCTTTGGGGACGACCACCAGTCCGGCGCACCATGGTGTTGGCGTGTCAACTCGGCGAATGACGCCTTCTTGTTCCATCTTCTGCAGTTCCTTGCGAACGACTTCCCGCAACGGAATGGGGATGCGCCTTGCCACGCTAAGAGAAAATGGAACAGCGTCTGGCTGGAGGCGGATCTTGTATTCTTCAGAGAGAGATCCGAGGCCATTAAACAGCTTGTCACAAGTCTGAGAAGAGACTTTGACGGTAGGAGGGTTCTTTTCTTTCGATGAGACGCCGTCGACGAATTTGACGACTTGAAGTGCCTGAATGGCTGGAAAGCCCAAAAGAGGCACGGAGAGGGATTTCACCACATATAGCCTTTGCTGGGTTGACTTGCCTCTCCACAGCAAAGTGGCCATGAAGGACCCAAGAACGTTGAGTGGCTGCTGCCCTGGCCCGAAGAGAGTGTCGTCCACCTTGTCGAGGGACGGCGGCAGGTTGGGGAAGGTGTTCGAGACGGCAGAAACTTCGGCTCCCGAGTCAACCTTGAACACTTCCGTGTAGTCGTTGACAGTTTCTTCCACGAACTTGCCTTGGTCGGAGTTGCGAACGGCGTACAAACCCAGCTCTGCCACCTGGGTCGACCGTTTCTTCCGGGAACGGCAGACGTCCGCGAAATGGCCTTTTTTCTTGCAGTGGTTGCACAACGAGTTGCGGGCGGGGCATTCCGAGCGAGCGTGTGAAGCACGGCCGCAGTAGCCGCACGAGCTAGAGCTTGAGGTGCGCTTGTCGCGTGCTGAGCTGTACTTGACGCGTCCCGCTTGTGGCTGCCGAGACTTGGCAGCGTCGAGGCTCACCGGTCGAGACTGCGTGTCGTGGCCTGCGAGCTGGTCCCTCTGCTTTTGGGCGTCTTCTGCTTGTCTCGCCTGCACCCATGCTTCTTTGAGGGTTAACTTGGGGTTGCGGCAGAGCTGGTCGGCGAGGCGAGCGTCGCGTAAGCCTACGATGAACCGGTCGCGGACAAGGCGTTCTACGACCTCGGGTGACGGGTAGTTGCATCTCTTGCAGAGTTCCGCATAGTAGCTGTCCACCGTTTCCCCCGGCTGCTGGACTCGCCGGTGAAACTGCGCCGACTCGTACACCTCGTTGAGGGGGTGAACGAAATGGGCCGTAAACTTCTCTACGACCACGTTGTAGTCCGTAGGAGCGTCGCCGAGGCCGAACGTCGCAAGAAGAGGACGAGCTTCCGGCCCCATGCAATAAAGAAGTGTGCGGACCTGAACTTCTCCCGACGCCTGTCGAAGACCGGAAGCGAAGGCGTAGTCCTCGAAAAGGCTTAGCCACGTCGGCCAGGAACCGGCGTTCTCGAAGTCGAAGCGGTCGGGCTGATGCAGTGAAAGACCTTGCCATGAAGGCTTGGCGCGTTTCCTTCGTCGTCAGGCATGGCAGCGAGCAGGACGGCAGCGAGCAGGAACACGGCGGTCGAAAGCCGGGCGACGGGTGAGCGAACTACGCAGTTACGGCGAAGACGATTCATGCGGAGGCGAGGCCTACGTCGTTAGGCATAACGTTTGGCACTTCTGACACCATGTGGAGGCCATGCCGGGCCAGAAGAAGGTTCGTGCGAACTCTCTCGTGCCAGAACAACAAGTGACTTTTATTCCGTTGAAAATTAGAGTAACTGTATAGGCTCTGCTTGCAGAGCCAGAGTATCGCGTTCCTTTTCCTTTCGCCGCCATCTCCGTATTGGCGGAGGAGTGGTCACGTGGGCAGAACTGGATCCGACCTTCTTGAGGGAAAGCGGCCTTCCAGAGCGCCGAGTTTCGGGGGGAACATATATTCCGCTTTGCGTTCGCAAAATATAGATCCTAGACCGAAATCGAACGAACCGAGAGCTTCCCAAGTCATTGAACATTATGTGTATCAACTGGGTACAGTGCAATCCCGTTTTTTATGACGCGAGCGATGTTTTGGGACATTTGTTTTCAGGGCATGTGAAGCAGACGACACGGAGGACGATCGCGTTCCCCGCGTCTGCGTCTCTCGCGGAGTGATACGCGATACCGATAAGCGACCGGCACATCCGGCCGTCTTGGCGAGTCGACGAGCTCTCGTTTGAAAGCGGGGGGGACGGCGTTTCCGTCAGCCGCCACGTCGTTTACCGCATTAAATTTTGCATGCGCGTAGAAGGAGCCCCCTGAAAATGACAGGCTGTAGTGTTACGAAGTGCACAAATCGCGCAGACAGCGGCAAGAGCTTCTACCGGATTCCGGCGGTGAGACACGATGTGAGACGTCGCCTCGCCTGACTTTTTCGTATGGGAAGGAGGTCATTTTTAATCATTGTCTGCCCTTTTACAATACCCCAAACGATTTCTGCAAGCAGTTGTGTGGATAAGCATGTTTTAGAGACTGTTAGTGCTGTGCCTCTTCGCTATTTCTTCAAGGGACCATGTCGGTGGTAGTAAAACAGTTTAATAGGTTAATAGAAGAGAAAGCGAGATCTAGGTTGGTGCCACACACTGAAAGTAGACAGAGCTCTATCGCCCTATTCTCGGGGCGGAATATACTGGTCAATAGGAAAACAGCCAATCTCGGCATCATTCTGGTCCCTGCAACGAATTGGACTGCGTTTTCAAAGACTTGTCCGCAATGAAGGTGGAACGCGTCGGTGGACTTTTTTATATTAAGCAGTTTGCACCTTGCGGCATCTCCCAAAGTTTGGAGCACCATCTAACATTTATTATTCGCGAGCCCCTAATGTTTGCGATTCAAGCGATTTCAAAATTTAGCCCAACTTGAAAGCATGCGAAAATTCCGGTCTCAATTCCAAAAGCTTTCGATTCCGGCGTCTCGAATTCGTGAAACGGCAAAAACTTAGGATAAAAAAAAAAAAGTTGTACACTATTTTAGCATGAAAGTGGGGGTGCTCGACATTCCTCAGATTCGCATATAATTGGAACGCACGAAGGTAACGCACTGTTCCGTCTACATAATATCAAATAAACTGTCTGCTGAAAAAAAAAATCACAGGCTGAGCAGCGGCACTTGCTCTTCGATTGAACACAAGAGAAAAATAAGCAGGCCTGCGTTCTTTTGCTTCTTGCGATCGCTCGAGGGGAAAGGTCCTCCAAAAGTTGGCCAGACAGCGGGATCACGACGCGATCTGCGTCCCAGCAACGGCACGCGACCCGCGGGACCCGCGGGTGCGTACTCGGATGCGCTTTTTGCGAGAGGGAGACAGGAAACGACGGGACAACGATCACGGCGCATGCGCGGTTCGTCGCCGCACGTCGCACTATTTTCCTTCCGCAACGTGCCACAGCACGCCGCAGCGCGCCGCCTCGCGTCTGCGCCTTTGTGCCCCTGCAAAAACCGACCTTGGCTTCCCGCAGTGCTTGGCTCCAGAATGGCACCATTGCGGTACTCTGCTCCGCAAGCGGAGCATATACAGTTACTCTATTGAAAATAACACACGAAGCCGCCCTCGCGGTGGCACAGGGTTGCCTGCGGCAATCATGGATGGATGGATGGATGAATACGGCTGAGCCCTTTGGATCGGGCGGTAGCTTACGCCACCTAGCCATTTTGTTTTACCATTTAAGCTTAGAATATTTAAATGTGAAATCTATATTCACTCCGCAGTGCAAAGAAAGTGAGTGAGGATCAAGTACGCGAGGGTTGCGCCCTCTACAATATCCATGAATGAGAAATTGTTACGATGTGTCCTCCAGAACATGGCATAAATTTTTTTTTGTGCCAAGGTTTTATGTTATGTGTTCTTTACTCTCTATTTCCATTCTGGTCTCATTGTTGAAGGGCTACCAGTCATCCATGTTCCATCAAAGAGGCACCTGCCACATCCACCCTGCTTTTGTGTCGGTGCCAGGATAGCGACGGGCACCATCAGACTTTTATGGCGTCATCGGGAGGAAATCGGGGGACCATTTCTGAGGACGCGCTAAACATGCCAGTTGGAGACGCGCTACAGGCACCACTGGCGGCGCCGTTTGTGCAAAGGAGACATGGGCAGAGTCACATAAGCGTGTGCACTGCGGCTTTTAAAGAGTTGTAGTCGGGGCATTGAAGGGTCAATCTGCAGGGGGTCAAATGCTACGGGTACACGCTTTTTACTCCCCCACTTCGACGGCTACACCTTTATAAGGGGACACTGGCAGTCGACACTAGCATCACTTCTTTGCATTTCTGTCGGAAACGGCAGAACTAACTCGCAACTCTCGCTAGTTCTTCGATTTAGTGTGTCAAAGCACAGGCTTTGTTTCCACCACTGTGGTCTCTACTGTTTGGACGCCAGCATTTGCGTTCGGCGTTCTACGTTTGAAAAACAAGAAATCTAAGATGTGGCCACCATCGCATAAAAGAGGACATAGTTTGGAATAAAATAACATGCGCTATGACCAGAGAAAAAAATAACTGCAATATCCACCACAAATCCCAAAAGAATGCAGCGGAAACACATTTTGTGTATACCGACTTATCTGCAAGTCTAAGGCAAACTGAGTATTTTTTATTCAATCTGCTTTCCCTCCTTTGTTAGGACCATGCCGGAGGTCGCTTTAAGACACAGCGGGATGTCCCCGCTACCAAGCAGTCGCTGGGCAGGCACTGTCCTGCGGCAGTTTGACGACGACACTGCAATGCTTCTCGCCAAAGACTGCCACACTTGGTCTTGCTTCACCATGACTACGCCGTCGGAACTGACAAGGGAGCACTTTGAAGTAAAGTCGCGTGACCTGGCATCGGAACTGCAACGCAGGTGACTTCCTGTTTGAGTAACATGAATTCTAAATGAATGCTAGCATGAACTGCCGAAAAGTATTATACTTTTGGCCATCGTGAAAGCTGCTTTCTTTTTTCTTACTATAAATGAGCATGCATCCTTCCTGTTAATATATTTTTGTTGTGTTACACAGTGTAGTGAGACTGCGGCACATCTGAGACTCATTTTGCGCACTTAAACTACCCGTATTAGTGCGTGTCAGTTACAGAGGTTTCTGACTTGAACGGTGTAAAGATTTTCATTCACCCGTCGCTATAGCAGACATCGATTGATCATTTTTAGACTTGCTTCGCCGGCTTCTCTTTTTATTAGTGCATAGACTAAAGCTCAACAATTTCTTGGGCCATTTTTTGGTTGGTATTCTAAAGGTCTGTTCGCACATACACCACGGCGCTATTACTCAAAGCTGCGAAAGCGCTGCCCTTGCTGATGCAGTGCCGACTTCGTGCTATGTTAGTGATACAGAACTGCATCGGTGTCAAGTTAAGTTGAAGTCACTGCTATATCATTTCATTTATTGTACCCTTATATCGCCCTCAGGGGGCTTTACATAAGGGTAGAAAAATATCAATATATATCAAACCTTGCAAAGGAAACAGTTGAAAAAAACGTTTAGGTTAGACTTCATGTTGTGAAGAGCGACAAGTGCAGCTTGGAGCGTGTTGGGCTCCTCTATTGTTACAGTGTTATCGGTGAAGGAATTCCAGTCGGTAATAGACGGCTGTAAAGGGGAAAATTTGTGGATGTTAGTCTTAGGAGTGGCGACGTGAAGTTTCTGTGTTGTCTGTGCGTGCCGAGATGTGACTGGCGGTTCTGCAACACCTATCTTTTTCGGATGGCGAGGGATAGTACAACTGACCCAGGGCAATCAACCGTGACATCTTCCGATGATCTGCGATTAGCTCTGTTCCTGGTGTTGGTTTAGCGCTGTGACGTACATGTGAACTAGCCTTAAAGGGACACTGACCAGGTATTTATGCTCGCCAAGGTTTTTATTTGAACATAACATATGAGAGCCCAACTACCCAGAACACAATTTGCGACCTGAAATTCGTTTTTTTTCTGCCCGAACACCGCCAATGAAGAGCGGGCCGCTTTGAGTTGCGCTCAATTTCTTCTCTGTGGTCATGTGCAGTGTGCTGCAGTTTAGACACAACCACCAAAGATAATCAAATTTGTGGGTCATCGAAGGCACACACTCTACATTAGAAATAGGAAAAAAACAATGTTTACCATTTTTTGTGCCTTCTAAAAAACTTCAAATATACGTTGATTCAAAAAAAAAAAAAAAAATTGCACTACCACGTGATTTTTGGCGAAACTCTCCTCTATGTTTCTTCTTACTCCCCAGTTCAGTTTCGGGTTTGAGTAGTTGCATTTTTTTAGTTTATTAAAAGTATACGTTGCAGTGCAGCCAAATATTTATCTTCTGACACCATAATAAATCACCTAACAAAAAATAAAGAAAATTTGGGGAGTGTCAGCGTCCCTTTAACCGCCAACGTACACTGGAGTTGGGAAGTGAATAAATTGCACAAGATGGTTTCGAGTCGCCTGTCGTGTTTGCTCGACTCCAAACCAGTCGCCTTCTAGCCACTGTTTCAAGCTCGCAGATTGATTCAATACTTTCGGCTCGTTCTTCATTTCTTGCAGACTGAACCTGTCACAGCCTCCCGTGATCAGGGTGCACCACGGCGCCACCATAGGCTCGACACATCGCCCTTCCCTCTTCTTTTCTGTCTCGTATGTGGTTGTCGTGCAGGAAACCAAGTTGCACGGCATCTTGTCCTGCTTCGGCAGCGAGGAGCACAACCTCCTCCTCTGCCGTGGGAGCAGGCTCGTCATGAGCCTGGTCACCGTGTTTCTAGCAGATGCGTTCCGCTGCTACGTCAACCCGCTTCTCTTCGGACCAAACGACCTGGCGTTCGGACTTGCCTTCTGGTCCGCGCTCGCATTCCGCGTCTCCGGTTTCGACGGGGACTACATCACGATTCAGCTCAAGCATCCGGAGGTGCCGGACTTTGCGGTCGATGTCGACCTCCCGGTGGCTCTCGTTGGGCAGGAGTTGGACGACACCAAAGAAATCGTCGTCGACGACGACGGACCCAGGGTGTTGGCACTCTTTTACAAAACGAAGCTCGTGCAGTGTTCGGGCCTGATCCTCGAGTCTTTCGGCCTGCAGGGCGTGACCACTCCTGGCCTGGCCTTCAACGCGGAAGGCAGCGTGCGTTTCTTGAAATCGGAGTTTGCGTGCGAAGCATTGGCGTTCCTCACAAATATTGCGGCCTGGAAGGGGCAGCCCGAGATCGAGGAGCGGTCCGTCGAAGGCGGCGATTGATTGATCGCTGCGTTGTGGCACCAGGATGCTTATTCAGGATGCTTAGAATTATGGGCATATACATGTGTACTTATTTTAGTTTCCTTTTGAGCTATACTTTGTGCTTTTGAACTGATGCTGTGTTCCATGTGACACATTATAGCCCGAGTATCTACGGCAGAGCTGTGTAGCGTGAACTTGGCAAAGGGACGAACATACAAGAAAAAAAAAAAGAATGTGAAAATTTCCGTGTCACAAGAGCCTAGTATTGGCTTAGCTACTTAGGAGTGTAGGTACATCCACTCAATGCCCGAACAAATTCCTGACAATCGGTTGGTGCGAACCGTGCGAATTTTAACATTCACACTGATAGTCATTGATGTGCACTTTATCTTTTTTCATACATTCACAAACAGGCAAGTTTGTTGCGACTTTTTATAATAATAATAATAGTCTTTTATTTTCCTTTTTTTCGCTACAAAACGAAAAAAAGGCGGAAAAGAGGGCAAAAAGCTGCTACAGCAGCTTGACGAGACATAGTTCCCATGCACACCTTGGCGGATAAACAGCGTAAAATAAAAATACAGTAAGCCTCAAGTCAAATATACACAAGCACACCACTCCAATCGTTATACTTGTTTGTGTAGAAAGTTGACTAAAAGACATATGGGCACTCAGATAGAAACAATTTTACAGCAATGTGTGACACTACACGGTATCATAGAAAATGAGATTGTAGTAGCACGTTTGCTGACGTTCGATTTGACTTTCCAAATATACACGTGTAGTATGCTACGATACCTTTTGAAGGCTCTTAGGTCTTCGGAGGCTCTTGTTTTTAAAAAGCTATGGTCATGCTGGTTTTCTAATGCACTTTCTGCAATACCTCTTTCGTCATCCATGGCTTGTGCAATTTCTTACACAGTTTTACATTTCTATAAGGAAAACTCTCTTTGTACAACTCTTTGAATGTTCGTAAAAAGGATACATTGAGTAAAGCATCTCTAAAAACCCCCATTGCAACGTCAGTAACGTTACGCACTTCGAAAGTTTTTTTGTGACTGTTCTTTACTACTGCACGAGGTTTATTAATCAACAGAAATATTGGTAGATGGTCGGTGATATGAATTCTAATAAGATTGGCTATTGTAGAGGATACATCACAGTTAGTAACGAAGAAATCTATTAAAGTTGATGTGCAGTCTGTGACGCTCATTGCTTTCGTTTCAATATAGTAAAAACCACTTATTTCAGTTGCCGGCATGAAGGCCTGTCGAGCTTACAAACAAGTGTTTGTAAGCATGTTAATATGGTAATCACCACCGAGAAAAGGGACATAGCGGTTCGCTGTTACAAAGTTGCAAAACATGTAAAAGGAATCAATAAGCTTGGATACATTCCCGGATGGTGGGCGGTATACAACGGCGAAAAGATATTCCCTGTAGCGTACACACAATAGCTCATAATCTTCAGTAACTTGGGTGAATTCAGAAATCAGTTCACACTCTAAAGCATTTTGTATAAGCTAAGATACCCCACCCCTCTCTCTACTTCACTGCAAAGTGAGTAATGGCTGTACCAGGATTTTATTTTTTTGGGGGGGGGACGTCACGTCACGTGACGTCCAACAGCAACAGCACTAAGTGTAAACTTCGTTTAGCACAAAAGTAGCGAAACTACTGATAATGGATACAGGATATAATGGGTACATACATGCATAAAAGGTAATGGACACACACATTCTAACATTGTAAAGAAGGAATTCTAGCACACATTGATGTTTATGTAAACAGCGTCGTGAAAACAAAAATTAGTAAAAAAGAATATAAGTCATTCAGCAGTAAAAGAAAACACCCGGTAAAAAAAAAGTGAAAAAGCTAGTTTACACATTTACAAATTCCAGGCACATATAAAAATAGCGATTTGGCATGGTCCACACAATAAAATCTAAAAATAAACGTGATCACAAGGTGTGTAAGATTTGTAATAAAAACAGCTGCACAAACAACACTGGTTTAAATAAATAAAATGTATTGGTACATATCTACAGATATTAACCCATTGGCAATTAAAAAGGAGCGTAGATCTTTTTAAAATTAGTTTGGTTTCCAGTAATTTTGAAGTATGGCCGACTGCATTTAGGAGCTGGGGAACCTAAAAATTGACCATTTGTTTGCCGTAGTTAGCCCAAATTGATGGTAGTCTATATGTCCTCATTGCCCTTAATTTATATTCGGGCAGATTTGCAGAAAAATGAGGTCACAGCCGCTTATTTCGTTTCTATGAATAAGCTACCAAGCTTATAATGGTAAAGCTTAGAAAGTGGAAGGGTATTTAAGGTTTCAAATAGGCTTTCGAGTTGGCCATTATGCTTAACATACATTTTTGTAAACTTGTAAGTCCATTATAGTTGGTTTTAACCGTGGTGCCCCAAACAAGTAAACAGTAGTGAAGTTTTTGATAAGAGGGTGTGTATATTTGTACTTTCAACCATGTCGGTAAGAGGTCTTTTGTCGTATAAATTATTCCTGGTCTAGAGAGGTCACTTTTTATATGCTCAGTTTGTGTTGTCCAGGATAGTTTGTCACTAAACCATACCCCTAGCAATTTGCAAACAGTTATACGTTCTATATATAACGCAGTTGTTTATTGCCAAACATAGCAGTTTATTGATTTTTTTTTAAATTTTTTTTTGGCATGAATAACATATACTTTGTTTTTGCAGCATTTAACCGCATTTTATTTATGTTGAGCCACCTGTTTGAATCTCGTAGGTAGTTCTTAGCTTCTTGTTCTATTTCACCTACGGATGTACAAAAAAAAAAAAAAATGTAGTATCAGCATACATGACTAGGTTTGGAGAAACTGCGATGTTTATAATGTCGTCTAAATAGATTATAAAAAAACAATTGTCCTAATACTGATCCCCGAGGGATCCCATATTTAATGCTCTTACGATCAGAATCAATGTGATTGATTTGTCCGAAGGGCTCGCGATTTTGAAGGAAACTCTTTATTAAATCCAAGGCTACGTCCCTAATGCCATAGTGGGGAAGTTTTTGTAGTAGGATGTCATGACTGATACTGGTCAAAGGCTGTTCGAAAATCTAGGTATATGCCAAGAGTAAGAAGTTTATTTTCAATGTTATTTAAAAGTGTATCTTTTATATGTAACAAAGCATCTTCTGTTGATTTGCCTTTTTAAAATCCGTACTGAGCTGTAGGTAAAACGGAAAATTTTATAGGGAAAGCTTGAATTCGACTGTTTATTATTTTTCAAAAACCTTTGATATTACGGGGAGCACGGATATCGGACGGTAGTTGCTAATGTCCTTTTTATCTCCACTTTTATGAATGCAGTTACTCTCGCAGTTTTTAAGGCATATGGATATTACCAGTTTCAAATATAAGATTAATTATATGTTGCAAGGGCCCACTTATAATGGTAGATACGTATTTGATCGGTTCGGCTTTTAGGTTATCATCCCCGCAAGCGCTTTTATTTTTTTAGTTATTTTATGGCTGCCTCAACCTCAAAAGAAGTGACCGGATTCAGCATAATAGTTTGTTCAGGTGGGCACGTGTAAAAATGTTCGATGACGTATTCGGGCGATTGTAGGCACCAACGTTTATAAGATAATCATTGATCGCATCTGCCATGTCACGTCCACTGAAAACGCTTGACCCAATTTGCAGTTCATTAAGTGGCGCATGGACCTGTTGCTCTCGTCCAGGGGGCGCGAGTGCGCCCTTAAAACGCGACCATGTAACGCTTGCATTGAGCATAAAGTGGCGCTGCAGTGTTTTATTATGCGTAAGTCAAGGTCGTGTACAAGCGCGTGTCATCACCTGTCTAGGCGCGGAAACGGAGCGTATACGAAAAAATAAACACATGTTTCATATTAACAACAAAATATTGCACCTCGTGTTTTCAGTATCTTGCAAAAACGATAAGAACCCTTTTTTTTCTCTTGTTTTGTTCTTGTTATTGGCACTGAATTTCTAAACGTGTTTATTGCGGCCAGCCAGAAAGTGCGCGCGCGTGCCCCCATAACACACAATATAATACAATTTCGTATATTTACATCGAGATGAAGACAATAAATTTGAATTCTATAAATATTTTTAGGAAACAACCAAGCGTGAGAATAGCGACTCAAATACCCGCCTATATTTTAATTTTTTCGTGGCCGCCGACATTTCGAGCTACCTAATCCAAAGGCATAATCTGAATGCGGATGGCTTCCTGATTCCGAAATGCTATGTCGTTCTCCGAGATTCACTCTAGTTAATTAAAAAAGTGATATTTTGTTTGCTGCCGAAACCGAAACATCGTTCTCCCTAGTTTTTCCCCAGTTTTCCCCGCCGCCCAAGCGTGACGTCACTTGTGTGCAGCGAGGCGCGCGGCCGGCAATCGGGTACGCTCGCGACGCCTTTCTCGCGTCTAACAGCAAAATGACCTGGCCGTTCGTGCTGTTCGAAGCTGATAATTATCTATATTTGCACAAAGTATGGCGTTGGCCTACGTGCCAAACTATAAGAAAGTAAAAAAAAAAAAAAAAAAGGAAAAACGGAAGCAATTGGAATTTTCACAAAACCGTTTTTGCAACTCGCTACGCTCAAGCCGCGGCTCACTAGTTTCGTAAAATCGCCTGGAAACCCGTTCTCCTTTTATTAGAGGATGGCTAGTGAAGAAAGGTCGAAGAGTCACGCAATACATTTTTTGACGAATTGCCAAAGCACCGCGGAAAATGCTCGGAATGTGGGCACAGATGTCCGGGCCCACACGCTCGTATGACCTGAAGGAACCTGCCATTTGTTTTAGATCTTCTTTTGAAAAGTTGCTGTTGCAGGCGTCAGCACGTGTAACTACTCATGTGGCATGAATATGCTCCTGGGTTGCTTAAGTAATTTAGCAAAAGATCTGTAGACCATTTCTGAAAAGCGCTTCTGGTCGATGCCATTTTCAGCGTTCGTGCGTGTGCACGTACATTGCTCGCCTCCCAAAGCGATGAACATGTGCGTGCTGGGCTGGGACCTAAGACATGTAGACTGTGATTCTCGTAAACAATGAAATGTATAGAATAGAATGAACTGCATTCGTGTAGATCAGATGGCAGGTTACTGGTCATGAAGATCGTGTTAAAATGACGATTAAAAGAACTTCGCAACCACCAAGCCAGACATCAAGGTGCAATGGAATTCATTCGTTCATTCGTTTGTTTATTTTCTGTGCTCATGAACAGCTTGACGCCTTGGTAATGATGCACAACAAAATGGTCACAGGTTAGTTACAACAGTCTTGAAAGCAACGAAATGTGGGTTAGAAACATCAATATCTGCTCCCCTGAGGGTATTGTAGAAGTGTTGAATACGGGTCATGGGACTGGTTTGGAATGCGTATAAAATACACAAACACACTGTTCATCTCAAAATAAAGAATATTTGCTTGAAGATACAGTAGTGCGTGAGGTACAGAAAGACATCATAAATTTTTTAATTAAAAATAAGTTAACAAAAGTTGCTAAAAAATATGTACCCGTATTTTTTCTCTTTACTTTTTGAGTAGAATGCAACGCGTTCATACACCCATCCACGAGAGCACTTGGGAAAAGGGTAATCCTATATAATACTTTTTTTTCTAATTCAGTTGGTTTAGCGCAGTTTTCATCAGCTCTAAATATGAATGCCTCCCCTCAACAACATTAATGTTTTCATGGTTTAAAAAAAACTTTTCAGCCCTATATAACATTTCTCCGCAATAGAATAAATTAAAGACGTTTTCACCACTTTTTCTGCAAAGAATATTGCACGCCAACCATTTGACAAACCAGGCAAGGCTCTATCGTATTTTAATGGAGCTCAACACCTGCTCCATAAACCTCTGTAATAGCAGACAGGAATAGCAATATGTCGAAAGTCATGTCTAAATTCAGACTTGAACTTTCTTTAGACGTTTCACTTCTCGTCTTCAACATATCGGCCGCGTGAGTGGAACTCCGAGAGTTGCCCGAGCTAGATTCGACGTCCGAAACAAACATAGTGTTTATAAAAAAACAAATAAAAAAAAATAAAAAAATCACTGATCCAATTGTGAATAACAAATTTGACTGTGCAAAATGTCGACTATAGTGCTAGATCGTGTACTATATTTCTCGATATTATTAGCGCTCTTCTTTGGACGGATGTCGTAATGGTCACAGCCGGCTTGAGTTTGCGCTTGCCGCTCTTGAAGCTGTTCCAGCTGCTGAAGGATACTCAACTCGCAGCTCGCGGCTATAAAGTATTCCGAGCGATAGTGAAAATGTTTCACGTGACACTAGTTTTCTCGGCACACAGCTCGCGCAAAAGCACCTTGACGTGGCTGGCCTCCATTGCTGCCGGGGAACGCTTTTTTTTTTTTCTCCCACGAAAACAAGGGTAAAAAAGAAGCTCTTTCCCGGCACTGTTTCTACAATCTATCGCGGAGCACATATTGCTACCCATTGCAAAGGAACTTTCAACCTTGACGCTGCGGAAAAATGATATCGATCGCTGGCGTCCGGAAAGCCATGCACTTCGCGGGCCGCGGCTGCCCGAGTCGCCTGTCCGCCTGCACATTCGTGACGTACGCGGGTAGGGAAAAGTAGGGATTTTTTATTGTTGCCAGTAGAGAGTTGCCTCCTGGAACCCTCGCGGCCGGCGTAACTTGAAAATTCAATAACTTCACGGAAAATGTTTCTTTTCTTAAAATATTTTGGTTATCATTTGAGAAAGGGTTATTGACGCGGTCTGCAAATTTCCAACCAAATCGAAGTCTACCAAAAAATCGGCGGAGTTCCCCTTTAAATGGAAACTTTAAGCCGAATTTGGGTTTCGGCCGAATGGGCACTTTAGCCGAATCGAGATGTCACCGAACAGAGTATACAAAACAAACAGGCAAATTAGTCGTTAGTTATTTATACAGCAGGAGTTTAGTCTGCCAAAACATGGCGACATTGTTACCCACTGTAGATGAGCAATTTAGCAGCGCAGTACGATTGCTAGCCTGGAGTCTTCAACGTGCATCACGCAGTAGTGATACACGACCGCACGCCGGCTTACGATGCTCATCCAGAGCGAAACGGGCAGGGGTGGGGATTGAGACCAGGATTTTGGGGGTTCTGCAGCGCGAGCTTTCGCTCCACGTGCTTCGAGCTGGTGTGCGCTAATGTGCGCTAGCCCACTCGGCCCCCGATCCCCCCGAACGAGGTATAATAAGCTCCTTTTAACCAAAATATGGTGAAAACCGTGAAGGTGAAAGAGGACGACCGAGGATGGCATTCGTGAAGATGTTCCGCACGCTTGTCCTGGCTCCTCCTAAGCCGACCGGGAAACAAGCTCCCAACTCACCGCTGGCATTCAGGTGGCTCTCAAAAGAAGACGTGGAAGCCGCAGCTCGCCTGCCGGCATGCCCGATCGAAGAGCCCACCACGCCGGAACCCAGCGAGGAGGACCAGTTCTCCGAGCCCGAACCCAGTCGGTGGCCCTGCATCGGCGGCATCGTAGCCTCCATCTTCCTCCTCTGGGCAATCGTAATGGTTCTGTTTCAGCCACGGACCGACCTCGAGGTAGTCCTCCCGCCGCAGAGGAAGACTACGTTCGTTCCCGTTCCGACCACGGCCCCGTTCTTGTTGGGGACAGACCTCACGGAGGAAGACGTGCTGACTTCGAGGACCACGCTCGTAAATGACCTGTTTTTTTCGGAGAAGCTTTTGCCGGTCAATGGTTCCGATGACCCCTTGGCGACTTGGCTTATATCTGAGGTTTAAGGTTGGGTGAATCTGGTGGAGCTAGATGAACGACATGCCGTGCAGTACGCTGCAGCTTTAAAGGGAAGCCCCGGCGAATTTTGATAGTCGCTGATTGGCCTCAAAATAACATACACATCTGAACTTGTAACCCAAATTACAATTTACAAAGCCAATGAATAAATAAAGAAGGAAATAAATGAAGGACCAAATTGAAAACGCAATCACCTTTTTTTTAGTAAAAAAAAAAGAAAGAAAACCATTAAAAAGAGGTTGATTAAGCTTTTTTTTTTTTTAAATTCTAAGCGGCGGGCTAATTTGAAGATAAAATGCCTTATAATTTAAGACGCATTTAATTCTTTTTTATACCGAAGCACAAGATATGTCTGGATATGTTGCTGTTTCTAGCGAATGACTGAAAAGATGAAGACGATGAATGCCCAGTATATATATATATATATATATATATTATTTTATTATCAATACAGATATGCCATACTATTTTCAAATTTAGGCATAAGTGCTTCTCTAGCGCTTATGACTCTGGTGAAATATACTGGGTCACTGGGCGCTCAGAACCTAATACACAGCCCAGCAGGCAGACGACTCTGGCGTCGCGCCGCTACGGTGGCGCTGCTGTCGGCGTGGAGCAAGCGCAGACGCTTTTTTTGACTCCAGTTTTCGCCCACCCGGCGTGGGCAAATGCGGCCTCGTTCGAAAAGCAGCGCTTCGGTCTATGTAGTTTCAGGCATCCCCTTTATTGCAAAGAACGCAACAGAAGGCCCGGTCGGAATCCGTGCGTTCACGGCGTCGGACCAACGATGCTCTTGATCCAGTCGACCTGGGTAGAGATTCTCCCGAACACGCCGGGCTGAAAGGCTGCCGCGCACGTCGTGCCCCATGACGTACTTCCGGCCAGCACGTAGCGGCCATCGGACCTGGGACACTGCAGTGGCCCCCCGGAGTCGCCCTAGGGGGAACAACGTCGAGATGAGACGCGGAATAAGATTCATGAAACGTTTTAACTTCGTCGGTTATAATATTGCAGCGCGCGTGGCCTTTACACCAATACGCAATGCCTTGTTTAGCTTGGCGACGCTCAAAGATGGCGCCGACTGCCTGAAGGGGAGAAAAGGAAAGAAGGGTCCCTCTCCCCATGGAGAGGAGAAACCGGCGCGTGGAGAGGAAGTTTGCGTCACTTTTCCGGATATTCGCGTTTTTTTTTTCTTTGGCAACGAACTTAGTGGCGCCATCTATTGGGTAGTCCCGGCACACTTCAGGTTTATGTATATTTCCAATTTTTTTTCCTCATCATTTTTTTATCGTAAGAGTGAAGTAAGTCTGACAGTGCTATAAGTGGCCATTTCCAGAAGACAGCGGGTATATTGGATTTCGTAGATACTGCGAAACCCGCCGTCTAGTTCAGGACCGAAAGTGGTCGGGGGCTATTTGCACACCGGCGCCACCACGTTTCAACTCACGCGGCAAAGAGCGAGTAGGAGCTTTAAGGCCCGTCCCCACACTTGCTTTTGCTAAGGACCAGGTTCTTGTGACCTCTTACAGCCGCCTCGGTTTCTCCGAGATAGAGCGCGAGTGCCGGCCTAGGGATCCTCCGGTGGCAGGAAGGTGATGTGTAACCGAAATTTTGGTCGCACGTCAAAAGACCTTCCGGGTGATTGAAATTACTACTCAGTCCCCCACCTGGACGTGTTAGATGTCCGTCGTTGGTTTGGTCCGTAAAACCTCCAAAATTGACTGTGTTGGACTTATGACCTGTTGACTTATGACCTATTACGACATGTGAACACACTGGCATGGTGGCGCCATCTATGACGCGACCCTGGATTGAATTTCACAAGAGCGAAGGCTTTGCGATATCTGCGAGATCAAATGCACCTACTATCTATGACAAATTGGCATTTATAACATTGTGATAAGGTTTTCGAGCCAAGAAAGGAAGAGCAATGCTCGAAAGGAATAGAAGATGTGCAGAAACTGTTCCAAGGCCACCCCATAGGGGGTGTCAGTGTGTTCCCTCGTCGCAAGAGGTCTTAAGTCGAAAGTGTGTGGATGCAGTTTTAAAGTTCTCCATACTCTTCTGCTCAGGAGTGACTTGCTTATTTCTAACCTGGCAGGGTCCTTTTCCTCCCGCCAAAGGACCGGCGCAAATCATGGTGTCCTGTACGACCGTGTTAACGCCCAAATACTCCAGCGAGCAGAGCCAGTTTGGTATGACGGGTAAATCCACTTTCTGCAGAGATTGAGACACAGTTCCACCTTGGGACTCTGTAAATAATCATAATAAAAAAGAATGCATGCTCAAAGTATGAAACTGAAATGTACGATTGCGTTGAATTTCAAGGCTGTATATGGTCATTAAAATTACGAAGTAGCTGTAAAGACGATACAAGAAGTTATGTAGAAACTAACAGAATGGTGCCGAAAAATATCTAATTGTTATAAACGTTTTGAAAACACAAGTATTATGCTTCAGAGACCAGAGGAAACAAATTCTAACTGAATTACCAATAAAAATGCACGAGGAGAATCCCAATAATTGTTCATGCGTTCCGCCGAAAGACGCTGATAATATCATATAACTAGGGATGCACATAGACTAACATATTAAATAGGATATTCATGTAGAACAAATAAGAAATTAAGGATATTAATGGCGCTCATGTATCGCAAGATGTGGTCCCTCGATCCATTCTAATAATGATATACAATAACACTGGGCAATTCTACACATTAATATAAATTAAGTCTATGGACACTGTGAAAAATATCTACTAAAAATAAAATCGGTCCAAAAATATTGGTTACCCAAGTGAAGAATCTCATCTTCAAAACTATATGCATCATGATCTAGGAATGTTGCGTTTTAGAGACCAGATGAATCATGACAACTTAGTAAACCATTTTTTTCAACAACTTTCATAAATTGGAAAATTCAAGAGGAAAAACGTTAAGACCGAATAGAAAATTTACTGAACCATTTATTTATACCAAATATGAAGAGGCCACAAGAAATTACTAGGGAGTTTTCGAAGACCGCGTTTCCCCCTTCGCTAAGACCCCCACAACGAAGAAGCCGCTACTGCGCCTGCGCGCCGATGGCCTTGACCGTAGTGTACCGGGTATCGTAGTGGGTTGCGCAGAGCATTGCGGGACGGCGAAGATCTACGAAAACACTCTACTATGTACCCACGATTTTTAAGGAATTTTCCGAAGTGCTACTCAAGATAAAATCCTAGAAAAAAAAAAAAAAAAAAAAAAAAAAAAGCTGTCAAAAACGCGGATGTTTTATAAGAGTAAAAAATACTCCTAGAGAATCAGTTGCAGTTAACGACGTGAAGCAAGTACTGCCAAAATCCAACATATCTTATACATTACCGCTGTTTAATGAATTAGTTTTATAGTTAGTGTTTGAACAGTGCAAAGACGACAGGAAGATAGAAGAGAAGAGGACAGGACAGCGCTCGTCCTGTCCTCTTCTCTTCTATCTTCCTGTCGTCTTTGCGCTGTTCAAACACTAAGTATGAACCAACTAGCCCACCGCAGTACCTTATTGTAGTTTTATAGACATTTTTTTTTTTTTTTGGAGACAGAAACTCCATTTATTTTGCAATGGCCCGCTCTAGTGCAAGTTTCATAATTCTCTAATAAAAATGCAGAGGGATTTGTCGCGTCCCACGCACAAGCCAGTATTGGATTATGTGAGATTTACATATGAATTGTATTTTAAGAAACAAATGAAGATTGATTGATTGGTTGAATGACATAGGCTCGGTTTCCGTCAAGCACTCATTAAACGCGACGAAGCTTAGAAAGTAGTGGAAGAGCCCAAGACCGAAGCGCTCGAAAACAAAATGAGAAGCCGCGCGTGAGACAGATTCATGTAAGCCACAATCACGCTGTTCATAAAAAAAAAAAAAAAAAAAAAAAAAAGGCTTGCAAGCAACTTTGAAGCATATAAGAAGCAAACGGGCTTCGGTCATGCTTGAGACATGTCCGGAGACAATTCTGTCGTCGTATCTACGGCGTACACCGTATCTGTAATTCTGTATGATGTGTGAGCAATGGGACTGCAACTGTCCGCGACTTTACGGAGAGCAAGTCGTCCGCATTTTGCGCGGGAGTTGCGGTGACGTCAGAAAGACTCCGTGCTCTGATTGGCTCTGATTGAAGGATAGTGGGTAGACCTCGAATCAAGCTGCCTCGAGATCTACCCACCATCCTTCAGTCAGAACCAATTGGAGCTCGGCGTTCTGACGTGACCACAACCTCCGCAAAAGAAGCAGACGAACTTGTACTCCACATAGACAGCACCAGTGGCGAAGTAAAAGGGCAGTACGTGGTTCAAATTGAGCTTGCAATCTCTCAGTGCGTCGACCGTGGCGCGTCATCATATACTGTGTCGGCCAGGAATAGAAAAGAAAAAAGGCACCCACGATCTTCTAAGAGCCCCCATCCGCTGATGGTGCAAGTCTTCCAGTCGAACCCCTGGTTCAGCGTCGGGAGGCAGATGGGCATCAGGGCCTTCTCGGTTCCCGCAAAGTCGAGCGGCCTCTCCAGCTTCAGCAGGGCGTAGTCGTAGCTCAAGGTGGAAGGGTTCCATTGCGGATGAATGGTGATCTGTGTGTGTTTTTTTTTAGAACCAAAATTGCACAGTAAATTGGAATTTGCAATATACGGGCCAACTCGCACGTTATATAGACATTCAATGCGTCTAATTTGTGCTTAGCGTTTCGGGGAGATGGAAGAAGGCCTTTTGTAAAGTGGGCGCTATCTAGTATCTTCTGGGTCCAATATCCGCCATTGTTTGGGCAAGCCATGCGAGGGTTGCGTCACAGTTCGGCGTGAACTCGGTTCTGTTTGTATCGAGAACGAGTGTGCTGCCAGCGTGCGCCGATGTTGCTCGATGGGGTTTTGAAAATGTTCTATCGTCTCGGTGCTCTGTCGCTGACTGGTAAGATGTCCTCGTCGTTGTTTCGGGGCACGTACCGCCGCAAACTGCCCAAGGTACGTGTATGGCGTGATCAGAAAACCGCATTACCACGCTCGTATTGTGCGGGTCTTCGTAACAACCCCGATTATTCCGGTCGTTTTACCTTGAGCTCTGCTATAAACGCTGAAATGGGGGACTGGCTTCTCCCAGAATCATAGCCTCCTCTATACTCACAAAGCCTAGCGGTTCGACGACGGAGCCATAGAGAGCCCGGTCGCAGATTTGGAGCGCGAGGATCTGGTAGCACAGAGCATCTAGGGTTCCTGAGGGTGAGGACAACTGCGTCGTCTGCTACGACGGCCGCCATTACGGCGCCCAGCCCGACGCGCGGCTTGCGTATACAGCGTGTCGCCGCTTTCGGCGGGGGCAATATTCACAAAGAAGCACACATTCACAAGCTTGTTTCAAGGACTTTAAACAAAAAAAGTAGCTGCTGAAATGTTTATTACAAAAGTCAGGACAGAACCGAAAGGTTGCGAAAAGTTATGCACAACGTCGCTTGTAAAGGAACGACGATTTTTTTTTTTTAAACTACTGGCAAGTTCGCGCTGAAACTTGTGTTTATGTTTAGCTCCACACTATGATCAAAAATATTTTAATATGCAACACGAGAGGCTTCCTCTCGTGTTCAGACATTAGGCTAGAAAAGCCATGTTGACGAAGACTACGAATCACTGTGTTGGCTAAGGATTAAGAACACGAGTTATATGCGTCCTCGTATTGCCAGCGTGATGCTGCTGGGACTGATGAGCGCGGCCGCTGACGCAACCACAAATAGCATGTAAAAAATGCGTTCAACCCATTTAGTACTCAAGGTACCATTGTGTACCTTGATGCGGATCTGTGAATAAACTAATATTATTACTATTATTATTACTCCACGGTCCTCGTCAGATTTAGCAACATTTTTTTTTTTTTAAATTTTTATTATGAAAGGCTGGTGTATGTATTTGCTCAGCAAAAATGCTCATGCAGGATATTTTGCCCGCAGATTGGTTCGTGCAGTTTGCTTCTGGCATAAAAAATAATACTGCCGTGCACAGCTCTCAGATGAGTGCTTGGTGTCAGGCTCAAACCCCAAAGGGAATATTTTTGTATGTCTGCCTATGCCACGGTTGCAAGATTAAATTAGGTAGGCATACTGTATTTACTGATTATTTTGTTAGTGATTATATCTTTTCATTTGGCTATTCTAAACAATGGCTCATATGAACTATACTGTATATGTATAATTGAGCCTGTGTGACTGTTTCAGTGAAACGTAAAGCTGTTACGAGATGTGCTTTTAAGCAGTGAGAATATGGGTACACTCGCTTCAGGCAAAAGCAAAGCTCAATGCTTCAAATCACTTGGAACAGATTTTATTGAAACAATGCGATTTGTTGCGAGCGAACCACACCAGTTCTATCGTCAACTTTGCGGTTAAAATAAACTTAAAATTGGTATCCACATGCGAAGTTTCAGCGGGTACGGGCGCGCAAGCGACAGCGAGTTAAGTTCACAAAGCAAAAACACAGAGCTAACAAGCAGACAGATGATGGGCACGATTACGAACTATAACACTGCAGGTTAGTGTTGATCTTTTACGAAAGATTGACGCCAGCACAAGTTATGCTTCCATAACTGTTCGAACTACCTGCTGGAAACTGTCGGAGGTGGATTCGTAACCTCAGCCTCTCATACCTTTCGGTAAACGTGCTGTATACAGCCTCCTTGTGATTTGTGCAGACTTCCAGGCGTGATCGGTGTACCTTGCTTAGGTAAGCCGTAACTGAACGAACTGGCGACTTCATTGTAATTATCTTGTCTGTGCACCAGGAGTTGATGACCGTGAAGTGCTCGTCGTAGTCTTTCAGAGTTTTCATAACTCCGGTACTTGGAGAAATGAGATTCCCTCCATCGCAAACATACTCCTTCAGGGCAGTCAATGAAGCATACTCACTAGTGGTAGTTCTGAGGAGACCCTCTTTGCATTCTGCGTACCTCACGGATTTCAGCATTCCTTTCAAGATAAATCCCCCATGGTAAAAGATAATCTGGCACTCTGTTGATGACAACTGTTCAAGAAACAAAATCTCCGAATCATCGATTTCTTCAAATTCATTCTCGACACACAGCTTCATGTCATGGGAAAGAAGGTTTACAAGATAATCACGGTCATCAAGTTCGTAACTGGTTGTTCGAGGAGTTTGCAAAAATTGGCTGACACTTACGAGTCTTCACTTCAGGTCATACGCGTTCGGAACCGGATTCATAAGCCGCACAACTGAGAGAAGGTTCTCTAAGCAGTCTTGCAGCAGCCTGCTTGTGAGAAGAAAATCATATCCCTCATTATCCAGAAGCACTTTTTGGAGGCGGAGAACAACTGTCGTTGATATAAGGAGGCCAGCTTGGGATGGCTTCCAACGTGATGTGACGCCCATCTTCATTGTTCGCACGGTTTCTATTGCCAAGTTCAATCTGTCGAGTGCTTCGGAGTACTTGGCCATATTTCTGCGGCTTAAGGTCATCGTTGGATGGCGAGACGACATCAGTGCAAACCACCTAGAAACCAGTTCCATAAACCATGCTGTAGTTTCAGCCTCTGGTTCGATCAGCCCTTCTTTTACAAGAAATCGGAAAGCTGGTGGTGCTTCACGGAAAAGTTGACCAGCAACTCCAACCTTCATTTTGGTGAAGTGGCCCGTGCTTGTGTGCACTTCTGACAAGTTTGACGCTACTTTCAGCTCTCCGATTCATAATCTAGGACTGCTTGAACGTGCTCCAATTTTACCTGTGATGAAGGCAGGCTGTGTTTAGCAACTGTGACGTCATTCAAGGTGAATACCGTGGAGCTCAGCAGCTGACCTCTGAGGTTCTTCAAGATGTGATCTGGGTCGGCATGAAAAAAAAGCTTCTTGCCGTCAATACATGGATGCGGTATGGAACACACCGTTAAATAATGTATGTGACTTGAAAACCCAAATTCCCGCCACATAGCTTGATTAGCAGGGCCCATGTCAGATGTAACTACACGGACTCTAAGAGAAATTAGGCTACACAGCTGAACCAGCTTGAGCACGTATGCCTTATGAGCAAGGAACCATCGACGTTTCTTCCAGTGAATTCGGAGGCTACCACCTGCTTCCATCTTTGGTTCAGCCCGCCTACCATAAATACCAAGGCTTTATTAGCAGGCCCCTTGGGCTTCAGGGGATGGGTTATTCCCCCAAGAAGCGTGTCTTCGGCACGATCTAGCTCCACACCGGTCGCTATCTCCATTTCGTCTAAAACAGCACGCAATCCTTTTCTACATCTTCCGTGGTCTCTGCTCTGCATTTCACAATATCGGCCACTTCGTGGAGAATGCCAGGCAGGAACTTCAAAATTTGAAGCCTTTGTGCAAGTGTCCTGCTAGATGGGAGAGGATAGGAGAGGATATTCCAACTTTTTGAGAGTTTCATAAACACTGGTTCCACAAGGAAATTTAATATTAAGGCCTTGCTTGACTGTCTCTGGAGATTAGGAGTTTCTCAAGTTGTTGCTTCTGGAAAGAGCCCGTACTTGATCTTCATTGAAAAATTTCAGACTTTGTAAAACATTGCTTGCTTCACTCTCAAGTTTCTGAACTTTCTTTTTAAGACTTTGAATTGTGTTATTTGCCGTGGCATGATGTTGTTGGAGTTCGGTGTACTTACTTTGCATGTCAGCAAGCCGCTTCTTCAATTCCACAATCCTTTCTCTTAAATCTGCACTGTTAACATTTGGCGAGACTGGCACAACGTCGTCGTCGTGGTCTGTGGAGTCCTGCCTACAACATGACGTTTCATTTGGAGAAGACACGAAAACCGGAACATTCTGCGTGGCCTCAAGAGGTGTTTCCACTGCAGCTGTGGAAGAGTACAGACCCAGGGTGGACTTGTCGGTCTCTTTGGAGGATGACGGCACAGGGATTGCTCTCTCCTTTGATGGTTTTCTTACTTTGGGCAGTGCTGTAAGTAAAAACGTATATGTGCATACTATCATGCAAATCAACAACAACATATATAGTTCCTTTAGATTGTGCAAAATGCGAGTTCCAAAAATAAAACAAAAGCAATGCATTAAAAACAAGATGTGGTGCTTCAAAAATTGCTTAGGATTGAATAATTCCGATTTACAAAACACGAAAGAACTTATGACGAAGTACAAATGGGCCCTTTTGGTTACCATTCCTAATCAGTTGCAACTACAGTATTTTTCCTGACAACAACGTTTTTATAATGATATAAATATCATATGAGTATTTTCGTCTCAATACAAATACATTTGGGACTGCATTTGGTTTCAGCTCTCTCCAACCATCCGCTCGGTTTTGCTCGAAGGCGTGGGCGTCGAAGTGAGCCTGTAAAGATGAATGAACATTTCTAGATTTGTTTCATCAAAATAAAATTGTAAAACAAAAATAGGCGGCGCTATTTCTTAGAAGGCTAGTTGGCTTGTGGTAGTCAGAACATGCAACTGCGCAAACAATACACAGTTAAAATAAAAACAACACAAATGGTCTTCTTTGACGAAAACGCAGACCATCGGCCAAGAACTTGGACTCCTGTTTCAATGCCAAAGATTTTAATTAGCTGCAGTTTGCACGTGCGCCAACTTCAAAGCA